CTTGCTGTGTCACTGGTCTGTCACCATCCCCTAGTTCAGCTCTTCTTGGGTCATCTCCATGGTAGCAAGAGAATGGCCATGAGGGTCCCAGGGGAGGGGTGCAGCTGTTCTCAAGGATCCCCTAAGTGAGCATCACAGTGCACGGTGCGGAGCAGGCTAGATTGGGTGATCACAGTGCACAGAACGGAGACTTAGCCAGTATGGGCGAGGTTTGTGGGATGAGGATGTGTGTGTGTGTGTGTGTGTGTGTGTGTGTGTGCATGCATGAGGTGGTGAGCATGTGTAGTGGGGAGAAATTGAGGTGAGGGTGTGGGTGTATGGATGTGTTTATATAACGTTTGGGGAGCGTGTTTAGTTGGGGTATGTATGACTCTGTGAGAGTAGGTATGAATGTGGGTGCTAGTGAGTTTAGGGGTGTCCGTACAAATGCATGCGAGTTTGTGGTGTGTTGTAATGTGCTCACGGATGTATATGAGAGCAGGTGTGTCAAAAGCGAGAGGTGCTCGTGTCAGTGTCTGTGTAGATGAGTGATTTGATCTGTGATTTGTGGGGTAGACGTGTGCTTGTGACCCGTGCATGCGACAGTGGAAGAGAGATGGAGTACAGCCACAGGTGTGGGCGAGTGGGGGTGGGAGTGTGAGTGTGGGTGCATGGGAATTCGTGTGCGAGGCTGTGTTTGTGATGTGTGCATTCATGTACAAGAACGAGTGTGCATGAATGCAGGGGTGTGTGTGTGTGTGTGTGTGTGTGTGTGCACGCGCAAATAAATGCCTTTGTGAATTTGCGGGGTAAGCATGTGCTTCTGGTGTGTAGAGTGGGCGCGTGTGAGTCCAAATACATACGCGTTTGGGGGATTGGGAGGAGTGTGCCAGTGGGAACTGACACAGGGTGGTCACAGTGAGTGGGACCAAGGGCTTTGAGAATGTGTGGGTGCTAGGACAGAGGGTGAGGCTGGTGCTCAGCAGAAGTGCTGGGGGAGTTGGGTGTCAGCTGATATTTGGTTGGATTCTAAGGTCCCTGCCAAACTCCCTCTGGTGGCCACCTGGTGATCATGCAGGTAAAATGGTTGGGGCTCCCATCTTCCTCCCAGGCTTCCTATGGCAGGAAAGGGTGTGAGTTGCTATTTCCTAAGGGTATCCTGGTTAATGTCCCTCAGTGACAAAGTCAGCATCTTGTGAAATACTGGGGCCAGCACATTCCTTGGGCTGTCAGTAGTGATGGCTGACTCTCAAGGAGATGACAGGAAGGAACCATTGGCTGCCTCTTACTAATGACTTCCAAGAAAAGAAAATCCAATTTTCCTAAGTAGACATTTAGAAATGACCGCCCTCATGGGAGTGCTCAGCTTCACACCTAAAGAAATCAATCCCATGGAGGAGTGGGCCCGGGACCCCAAGAAATGATTCTGCCGCCTCAGGCCTGAGCATAATTGCTACCCAAGGAGGCAGCAAACTGGGGGTTGAGTGACAGACTCCATTTAGCTTGTGGGCTGAGGCTGTGTCTTCCCAACTGGGAGATTAAAATGTCTGCCTGCATTTTCCACTAACCCCAAGCACATTTGGAGACTGAGTCGCTGGTAAGCAAGAGAAGACGCCCTCCTCCTCCATGTTGATTGTGGGTAGGGTAGAGAAAGGCTGTCCTGGGATGTGCAGGAGCTGAACCATGAATGGAGCAAACATCTGCAGATTTTAACCTGAATGAGCTGGGCAGAGTAGAGTCGGGGTTTGCTTGCCTGGGGCAGAGTGGACCTGGTGGGGGGGGCAACTGAGACCCTGGCAGCCTCTGCAAGAACACCCCTGATGGACACCCAGCATCCTCCTTGCAGCTCTGGGGCGGGGTGCCTGCATCCTACGGGCAAACTGTAGTCACCATCAGAAGTCTGATGTTTCGTTCTTCTGGTGTCAGTGTGATGAGATGAGGGAGAAAAGAGAGATGCACAGTGCACAAAATCCTGGAAAGAGAGGGGGTCCCCTGCCTCAGCCCGGTCTGTCCCTCCGAGAGCCCCACCCCCAGGAACTGGACAGCTGCTGTTCCTTTTTACTTGATTGGGAAGCGGCAGGCAGCTCAGCCTTCCTCTCTGCTTACAGATCCACATGAAGACCATGCCTGCGGCCATGTTCAGACTCCTCACAGGCCAGGAGACCCCGCTGTACATCTAGGTACACTCAGCCTCGCCATGGAGCAGGGACACCAGGCAGACCCACCTGGGCCCAGAGGAGCCAGAAGCCAGGACAAAGCCCTGAACCCTCATCCCATAGCCCAACCAAGAACTCTGGCTCCCCTGAAGGGTGTGTCCTCATCACCTAGTTTTCTGGTTTTGTTTTGGTTTTTGGTTTTGTTTTGGGTTTTGCCACACACAGAGAAAAAAAGGTACGTCCTTAACCAAGGGAGAGTCGAGGGACAATCCTTTGTGAAACTTACCAGTCCTCCGCCACATTCTCATCGCGGCTGATGAAGGGTGCTCACAGGTAGTTCTGTGTGGTGTGCTGTGGTCTTCCTCCCTGAGGCTATGGGATGTGAATGTGGTGCCCGCCCCTGCGGCTGTGAAGGGAGCCCTTTGTGATACAGCTGCAGCCATCTCCTCCCTTTGGCTGGGACACTTGGGGTCCAGCCGAGTCCTAAAGGGCCCGTATGCTGGCGTGGCCTCCATCTGCACCGGAGCAGGGGCAAGCTGGCTCCTGGGACCCCGGAGGAGGCTTTGTGCCGCGTATGGGAACCTGTGATTGATTGTAAGTATTTACGCAGCAAGGGGATACTCCCGAGTTAAATAAAAAAAAATGATGGTCACAGTGCCAAAACTCCATATTTATTTAGCAAATATTACTGTTTGGACTTTGACCTTGGCAAGCCATTCTTCAGACATTTAGGTTTTCCAGCGACCTGTGACCACAGCTGCTTCTCCTGTCCTTGCCTGTTCTGAGTCCCCTGAGACCCTGTGAATTTCCCTGGACATCCTCACGTGGACTCCTTCTCCACCACAAGGCTCCCTATTGGGGGGCAACATCCTGCCAGGAACAAAGGCAGAAGCATGGGAGACTTCCCTATTTAAAAAAAAAAATACGTATACCCCGTAGTGACACACACACACACACACACACACACACACACACACACACACACACTGTCCCCAACAAAGCAAGCCCACAGCAGAAACCCCCACCTCCTCCCTTTCTGAAGGGAACAGTGAGAGCGCAAATTACTTGTCCGGTGAGGTGCTTGGCCATCCCGTGCGGAGCAGTGTCAGTGTGTGGAGCGGAGCCCGGCTGGCTCTGCTCATTAGCGATCAATGTGACCTGACATCATTTTGTCTGGCAGTCTCTTTTTTTTTGGCTCAGGCCTTGAAGAATACACTGTGACTTAAGAAGCCTTATTACACAGTAACTAAAGCTTTAGGATTACTGTACTCGAGGAGTAACCTGTGTGTTGCATGCAGCCGACCCTAGGAAGACTTCCTGCATATCGCTAAATAAACCTGAAGTCATGACAGAAAAGCACTTGGCGCGCCTCATTTGTCAGCTGAGCGGGCCCGGCGGGCCTCTCTTTCCAGTTGGGACAGTGGCTCTGCGAGTCTGCCTGTGGTCCTGTCACCCCTCCCTGGTCTGGAACCTTCGCAGCTCTCACCTAGGAAGTTTGAGGGCAGGTGCTAAAATCACCAGGTGTCACTGATGGTATCGGGTCACCCGGCCAGTTCCAGGGTCCCTACTTACCTGCTGCATGGACAAGACATGGCTGGAGATGTCTGCTGACTACATAAAGGAGCAAGTGGAGACAGGCTTCTCCAGATATTTCACCTCTGTGGTGTGAGCATGTGAGAGGAAGTCGGCCCTCACCCCTGGCATTTCTCTACACGTGTGATACATACATGTAGAATATTAACATCTGGGCTGCTTTGTGCTGCTCAGTGGCCACAGGGGGGCTGTCGCCTGATGTGGGTGTTGAGTTGGGTAAAGGGGTAAACTTGGGATTTTTCTCAGGATGCTGGGGTGAGAGACTTTGGCAAGCCAGAGTCTCTGACCTGCCAGACAGAGCAGGTCCCACCGTCGTGAGCTGTTGGCCATGTGCTTTCATTGCCCATGATTCTGCAGGAACCTCCGGAGGGGCCTGAGCCATGTGCTCCCCTCCCTTCTGGCCATCGGGGCAGGTGAGAAACAGCTTTTCACTGTGAACTCTGGCTCCAAACAGGGCGGTGGAAAGACACAGCATCAGAAATGCAACACAAAGGTCTCCCCATTCCCCAAAGACAGAAGGCCCGAGAACAAAGAAAATGCTTCCCCGTGCCGACATTCGAAAACTGCTATCTAGATGGCTTGGCTCTTGCAGAATGAAAAGAACAGTCCCTGGGGTGAAAGCTACAGAACAAAGGAGCAGCACCTGCTGCCCGCCCAGCAGAATGCCCCTGTGTGTCCTGGACAAGCATGTACCCAGCTCCAGACAGATGCACTGAGATGAGATGAGGGTGCCACATCCACCAACTGTTACACAGCAGGTGTGGGGTGTGCATGTGTTTTCTTTCACCTGTGTGCAGGCACGTGTGACCATCTGTGCACATGTGGAATGTTGTCCTCTGTCACACCTAATCTTATCTTTGGAGACAGAGCCTTTTACGGAGCCTGGGGCTTGCTCTTTCAGCTAGGCTGGCCACCTGGCAAGCCCCTGGGATCTGCCGGTCTGCACATCCCAGCAGTAGCAGTGGGGCTACAGGATCACCTCCCTTCTTCCTGGAATCCAAATCAGGTCGTCATGATTGTCCAATGAGCTCTTTACCCACCCAGCCCCTAGTACGCAAGTTCAGGACCTTAAAGGGAAGACGTCAGATTATACCACACGCCCAGGTTCTTTTGAATGTCAGGTACCACAGAGGGGCAGCTGTGGTTTGGACCTGTAGGCGCAGGGGACTGTCTTTGCTCCTCAGTCCCTGGCACTGAGTTTTGGGTGGACAGTTGTGGTGGCCCACCAGATCCGGTCCCTCCAGGACCCTCTTAGTCCCAGTTAGACCTCAGTGACCAGAAATACTTTTTATTAAAACACTGATCATTATGAAAACACCTTGAGGTACATTAAATAAATACAAACTTTCAAGTTGTACAAACAGGTCTCTGGGGGCCTGAAAGCAATTTCCTATCAATTCTGCATCAGCCGCATCTGTGAGCTGCTCTAGCAGAAGGGGAGGAGAGAAGATCCGACATGAGCTTTCTGTCCCAGGGTCGGTTGCAAGCATTTCATTTTACCATGGCCTGCTTGAGACCTTTAGTCCTCGTGATGGGGCCTCCCACCCTGCCTTCCTCAAAGTAGAGTTGATACTCAGAGTGGGTTCACATCAGCATCTTCCTGCCCCTAGGCAGACACTTGAAGGATGTCTTAGAGGGTACTGGCCATTGTTTTTTTATTATTATTATTATTTATTGGTTTGTTTTGTTTTGTTTTCTGGTGGTGGTGATGGGGCAGGACCAGGCAAACCTGGAGTGAGAACATCTCCTCCCAAATGATCATGGTTGGACCCAGTTCAGACATCAGAAAAAAAAAGAAAAGAAAGAAAGAAGAAAAGAAAAAATAATTTTAAAAAAAAAGAAGAGAAAAGAAAAGAAAAAGCTTCCAAGACAAATGTGCAAGCAATGTGGAGGATGACAGTTTTTGCCTTATGGAACCCACATATTGCCTGGGGTTCCTAGTATACTAGATCACCACTGAGGCAGCGCTAAGGGACCCAGAAGAGACAAGACAAATCACAAGAACATCATTTAGTGGCTGTAAGCCTGGAGCTGAGCATTCCTAGTCCTCATGTGGGCTGCGTGGGGCCCTGCGAAGGTGAATGCAGATTGACCTGTCTTCTGACAGTCTTGTTCTGGGAAGCCAGGGGTTCTCACCCACCCAGGAGCATCAAGGTCTGTGGTTTCTGCGCCCATAAGATAAGCCTATTAGGGGAGCCATCTCATAACCTAGCCTGAATGGTTTGTGCATGCCCCTTTCTTGAGATTGCCTAGAACTCAGGGCTTCCAGGAAGCGGTGGCCTGCAACTGAGGGACACCAGTTGGTTGAGACGAGAGTGCTGCATGGCAGACGAGGGCCTGCTGTAGAGAGGCAGCGGGAAGGCCAGAGTCCTGCACGATGTTCAGAAACCGTTCACCCTGGATGCATCATGAAGATACCCTGGAGCTTGGGTCAGCTGGGTGGGGTGGGGCCCGGCCTCTCTTGGATCTCAGCTTGATCGAGGAGCCACAAGTGTTTAAGCGCCCTGTGGCATGGACCCTTCAATCAGGAGACACCCTGCAGCTGCCTGACCTCACCTCACCTCACCTCACCTCACCTCACCTCACCTCACCTCACCTCATTTTTGAGGTGATAAAAATGCCTCACGGCCAGGCTATGGAAGTTTTTCAAGCTGATAGGTTCAGGGGAGGCCATTCTACCTGTAAGGGATTTGACAAAGTCCTCACTTGAGGAAAATGAGAGGATTCTATAGTCTGGATAAAGTGCTTGGAAACTCATCTCAATTACGTCTCCCGCGGAAAAGGCAAGGTTGCCATCATGTGCCTGATTTATGTTTTCTGGCTCCATAACAGTAGGAAGGCCACAACTTACGGCAATGGTCAAGTCATCAGAGCATGGAAAGCCGACCACCATTGAGTATCTGCCAAGCCATATGGGGGCTGAAGCCCCCCCAGCTTCCAAACACATGAAGGTCCTCAGTATATTGGTTACAGGGAATTGGGGGGCTGGGACATGGGAGTAGAAGCTGAAGGCCAGGCAGAGTGGAGAGAAGGGTTTCTTAAGCCTACCAGCTGGACACTGAATAATGGTGGTCACAGTCTGGTCCACCCTGACACTTTCCGTAGACATAGGGCCTCGGTGCTGATATCGAGGCTCATAGGCCAATTGGGGTACAGTGATCTCACGTGCTTGGAGCTGCTGCTTTTGGATGAACCAGATATGGGTGTTCCCATTTTCCCAGGAAGTTCTTGCAGGCAGTGTTGGTCTGGACCCATTGCTGAGACATGGTTAGTGTTGATGGTGCCAGAAAATGAGGTCTGAAAAGCCAAGAAAGTCTGGGGGTGGTCATCTTTCCCAAAGTCACCTGGCTATGCCCAAGCTGGTTTTGCTCTGCTTCTGTATTCTCCCAGAAATAAGGGACTGACCATCTACCTCCTTCAACACAGGTGGGTCTGCTGCCACCTGAATGGAGGAGGAGAACTCTGGCTCACAAAGGCATGCCGTAGCCAAAGGTGCACTTGTAAGCAGAGATAAATGCATCTTAGCCCGCATTGTGACCTACCTAAGTTGGTTGGGTGAGGTCAGATACCAGGGGAGCCCTCTGACGGATGCAGATTGCTAAGACACAAGTGACAATTCTTTGCTGTGGTTAAAGAATGGGAGGCCATGGGGGAGGGGCACAGGGAAGGACGTGGGGGTAGCAGCTCACAGTCAGAGGCCTAGTGGGGAGGCCCAGGACACAAGGAGGCGGGCATTTCAAGCCTTCACGACACCTGCTCGCTGTCCAAGCGTGCCTAGGAAGAGTTTTTAATGGTAGATTTATTTGCATGATAACCCAGTGATCAAAAAATGTGGGTCCAGGCTGTGCTAACATTGCCTATTTCCTTTGAAAGGAAGTGATGGGTCTGGATTTTTTTTAAAGGTTTCACTGCAGAGTGATTCCAGTCACGTGGCAGATGGCTCCATCGTGGCTGCCACCTTCTGCTCACGTAACACTGAACTGAACTGGGCCCAGAAGACAACCTTGTGTCAAAGGCCTTGATTTGGAACAGATACAGTGTCCTTATGTTCCACAAGTGTCACCTGTCCCTGGATAGGGATTCCGGTCACATTCTTCAGTTCAAGGTGCTATCCCCCCTGACGCAAGCGGAGCTTGCTGAGTTAGTGGGACAGGGGGCAAAAAGTCCCTGGGAAGACAACCGATGGAGAAAATGTAACAGTTCCCTGCCCGGGCCACCAGAGAGCCTCGCCTGGGAATTCTGGTTGCTCTCTGCCCTGCAGGCCAAAGGGCCTCTCTCTGTCAAGCACGGTGGCATCATGCAGGACTGGACTTGCAGGCACTGGGTCCATCAGTGTCTACATCCAGGTCTGTAGCTGCTTCATAGCTGGTCCAGGACGCCAGCACCAAAGATGGCCTCCTCCACCCTGGGCTCCTCCGAGGTGACTGTTGACCGGACGGTGCTCACCACGTGTCGCACCTCTGAAGGGAGGGTACAGTGTGAGTGTTCCAAGAACTTAGCCACCAAGACCCTGGTGTCCGTGTAGCCCTTGCTCTCCACTAAGGAGTGCGGCCGTTCTTTGGAGACGGTCTGTAAGCTCTCTGGCTTGGTCCCTTGGTCTGTTTTCCAGGTATCTTGGTTGCCAGCAGACGAGAGCTGGTGCTGACCGGCAGCCGTGGCTGGGCGTGATGCGGAGACTAAAAATCAAAGTGAAAGAGGAAGTCTGAAAACAGCTGTGAGCCAAACAAAACCAAAGTTCTAGAAAGATAAAATGAGCAAGAGTACGCTGTGAGCTCTGTTTCAGAGAAGGCGCCCGAGTGTGACCCACTTCCTGTCAGAATGGGGGGGGGGGGAGTCGGGGTTAACCTCTCAGGATTGAGATGGGGAGTGAACGGAGGGGTGGGCCCGAGAGAAGGGCTGCTGAGGGGATGCTGAGCTCTCCCCAGCCTTCTCCAGCTCCAGGACTTTTGTCCTTTGTGGTCTGATGGCCTGCTGGGGCCGAGGAGGAACAGCCAGACAGGTTTAACACTAGAGCTGGGGTGGGAGAGAGGTAGTGAGATTCCTTCCCCGTGTTAGCATAGACAGCAGCCTCTATCCAGGGCCTTCTTCCAGTGTCCTCTAGGCTGGGTCTGGAGAAATGACTCTGGCTCCTATCCGATGTCATAACCATCACTCCACCTCAAAATCAGGCCACACACTGCTTAGATGGCACCTCCAAGAGTTAGGCATCTGTGGGTAGTGAGATACGGTCCACTGACCGAGGACCACATTGAGAATCAGCTTGCCTAATATGTCACCTAAAATAGACATTCTGGGTGGTCTGCGCCAGGGTCCTGGGGGTACTAGCAAAGTAAAGAAATACAGGATGATGTATAAATCTCTTCGGCAGAGCTAATGACTCCCTAAAATAAGCAAAATAAGGCAAAGCCGGGTGGCAATGGCCCCGGCCTTAGCACTCTGAGGCTGAGACAGGAGATTGAGGTCAGTCTGGGCTACCCAATGAGACGCTGTCTCAAAACAAAACTAAATGTAAGAAAACAAGTTAAGCATATGTGTTCTGCGTTCTGTTAGTTACAGGCTTTGATAGAATCACCTTGAGACAGACACTCACGGTCTGGGGCAACAGCTAGAGAAGGTGGATGCAGGGGCCGCGAAGGACCCCCCGTCATGACTCACCCCTTCACAGTAGGTGGATGCCAAAACGTTTGAGGGGTGCCTCACTTCTCTCCAGAGCATCCCAGGGCAGTCCTGTCTGCACCTCAACCAAAAGAACACCCAGTCCCCACGGGAAGGGGCAGGAAGGATCACTGGTAAAATTCACCAGCTGCCTAGGGCTGAGCAGGATGACAGATGGTGGACGAGCAGGCACGTGGATAAAAGGAAGTCACCGTGCAGTTCTCTCCCAGGTTCAGGTCCCACAGGAGCCCAGCAGGTGCCTGGGAATGCCCTCCGATCCCAGGGCTCTCCAGGGGAGCAGAAGGTGCATGCCTTCAACTTGGGGAGCAATGGCAGTCTCATCTCCCGAGAGGAGACTGAAGTCGCAGGCTGCTTGCTGCGTGGACCTCAGGAAGGAAAGGTGGCCACCTCTCCCTTCCCCCATCCTGGTGGCTGCTTGTCACACACAGACCATGAATTCCAACAAGAGGGATAGGCCAAAGAATGCTATCAGAGGCCCAGAGAAAGGACCTAATCCTTGGGAGCTTTCTCATATGAGACCCCTCTGAAAGCTCCGTGACAGGGAGTGGACACCGAAACCCCTGTGTTGCCCTTGGGGGTGGCATGAACAGGAGCTCTGGGGCTGCAAGTTAAGGAGCAAAGAGAGCATTCCAGGTTTGAGCTGACCTTTCTCCATGGAGGTGCAAGTGGTGGGGGAATGTAGCACCCAGATGTTATAAGCACAAAATTTGATGTTTCTACCAGGAAGACGTTCCCAGATAGCTGGCTTCTGTCACTTTTTTGGTTCCTTGCAAAGGTGGCTCTTCCTTGGCATGGCCAGACTCTAGGCTGCCTGGTGTTCAGCTACACAGGGGCATGGAAGTGAGGCTGGTGTGGGCATCCCCATGCCCTCTGTAGAGTCCTTAAAAATTCACATCAGAGGAAGTTTGTGCTGCGATGCAGTCAAAGGCCACTAGAAAGTCCTTACTGGCAGAAATTACTCCCCTATAACCAAGGTTGTGTCCATCCTCCAGACTCAAGGACATGAGAAAGACTCCCAAGGAAGCTGGTGTGGCATATGCTTCCTGGGCAGCTGGCCACAGGAATCCCGTAGTACTAGATAGTGCCCATGTGGAATTAAAACAGCTCATGGTAACTAAGGGCACTGGTAAGTGCTGCCTGTAGTGGTCTGGGTAGGTGTGACCCCATAGACTTGTGTGTTTGAATGCCTGGCCCATAGGGAGTGACATTATTAGAAGATGTGTCCTTGTTGAAGGAAGTGTGTCACTGTGGGAGGTGGGCTCTGAGGTCTCATATGCTCAAGCTATGCCCAGTGTGGCACACAGTCTCCTTCGGCTGCCTGTGGATCAAGCTGTAGAACTCTGAGTTCCTTCACCAGCACCATGATGATAATGGAGTAAGCCTCTGAAACTGTAAGCCAGTTCCAATGCTTCTCTTCCTTCAGAAGAATTGCCATGGTCATGGTGTCTCATCACAGCAATAGAAACCCTGAGACACTCCCTGAACACACCCAGGGCAGAGGACATACCACCTACACAGTCTTTATCCATGTTCACCAGTTGGAGCATCCATGCTGTTCGGTGCTGATGCTCAGGTCAGAGCTGCTGGCCACCTAAAGGGATCTCATTACCCTAAACTCTTAAATCCTTCCTCCCTTGCCAGAATGATGTCTCCCTGGCAACACAGCAAGGACCTAAGGCCCCCTTCCCCTCCACCCCAACTCAGGGCCTTCAAGTGTGCAGATGACACTTTCCCGGATCCAATCTGGGCCTCGATTGTCAAAGGTCACTTGTTCTATGAGTTGGGTACACCCTGAGAATACACGTGAGCCATACCTGCTTCACTGAATGCGCGGGAGGTGGGGTCGCTGGCGGAGCGGGCCACACGCCCTGGGCTTGGCTGTGCCTGTGTGTTCAAGCTTGTTGCTTCTGGAGACATGTGGTGAGAGACTGGAGTAGGTAGAAGGGGTGGTGGGGTGTCCAGAGTGCCCTCAGGGGAGGGGTGGCTTGGACCCAGTGAGGTGGCACCCTCTGATGTTGGGAGACTTGTGCTACTAGCAGGCACTGCAAGAAAACAGGCTATTAGGGTAAGTGGTTACAAATTCTGAAGGCAGAATCAGCCAGCTACCTGCCCTCCAAACCCTACCTATATAAACTCCACAGTTAGAAGCGGGCCAACACTGAGGCAGGTTACCAAACCAGTACCTGACGTGCAGTCCCTAGATCAGATGTGTGAGACAAACATAGCCCACGTGATGCTTGTCTTGATTCCCAGAGTAGGCCCTGGGCAGCACCATCAACCTTACCTGGGAACCAGCAGAAATGAACCCACTGGGGGTGTAGGTCAGCGACAGGCTCTGCTTTGGCACACAGAGACGTGGGGAAAGGATCCGGGGGAGCCTGGTCACTCAAGCTCCAGCGGGACTCAGTGGAGCTCTAAGTTGTGAGCATCACCACTGTGGACCAGTGAAGCTGGCCACGTCTGTGCTTCCTTCCCACTCAGAGGCCAGAAGCCTATGGGTTGCACCAGGGGCTGTTTCACGCATGATCACGAAACCCCAGTGGATTGACACTTCCTCCACTCGCCTGGAATTACTGGCTCTGTCCAGAGGCAGACGTTGCAAGGCGATGGATGACCTGCCTGAGGGAACCTGCGCCATCACAGCAGCCCAAATTCCATCAGTGGTGGGATGCTTCCAGCTCTGTTCCTTCCTTCTCACCCACGGGGCCCAGTCAGTGCCCCATGCTCCCCCTGTGTCTGTGAGCTTTCCCCAGACCGGACTTCAGAGACACCTACCACTCAGTACCCACTACAGACTCTTGAACCGGCCTGTGGAACATTCTAAAACATTCTTGCCTAACCACCCCCGCCCCCACAGAAACAGTTGGTGACAAGTAGCAGCCCATTTGCAAAACAGAAATGGTACCAATACATCACATATAAACAAATACCCGAATCTTCAGGAAGATTAACCCTTCTTTTGGGAGGGCATCAACTCGGGAGAAGGAAATCCCTCACAGGACGGCTGTTATGGATTCATATACCCGCTGCAGTTTGGAGCAGAGAATTCATGGGCAGGATGGAAACCGCAAAGGGAAGGAACTAAAACTGACAGTAAAAAGCTGTGCGTTTTGGCCCATGGAATCAGCTAAGCAGCGCTCATGGGGGTCCACAGAGACCGTACAGGTCTGTGCAAGGTCCCCGACTTGTATGTTATGGTTGTCTTCTTGGTGTTTTGACAGGACTCCTGGCAGTGGGAGTGGGGGGTATCTCTCATTCTTCCCTGCTTTGGGGACCCTTTTCCCCTTACTGGGCTGTGATGCCCAGCCTTGATGTGAGGGTTTGTGCCTGGTCTTATAGTATCTTTCATGCCTTACTAGGTTGATGTCCCTGGGGGGGTCTGCTCTTTTCTGGGAGGAGACAGTGGAGGGGAGGTAGGTCTGGGAAGGGGGGGAGGCTGGAAGGAGTGGAGGGAGGGGAAGTTACAGTTGGGGTATGCTGTATGAGAGAAGAATAAATCATTTTTTTTAAAGTTTTGTGCTTGCATAGGGAACATGGTGCCACCAAAGCGGAAGCAAAGCAGGGGACGAGTCCGCGCCATGAGTAGGAAGGTCTTGCAAGGCCTCACACATTTCCTCATGATTTGATTTAATAAGCACTTCTTCTCAAGAATCTACTCCCAAAATATCTTCCAAGAAAGAAAACACTTCAAATGAAAGATGGGAATCAAATCCAGACACACACATGGACGACAGACTTGTGAAAGTTGCTCAAACCCAAGGCTGGGCACGTTTATGCCCTTGGAGGGCAAGAGGACCCCTCAGGAGGGACGGCACCCTGCTCTCACTGGTGGGTGTAACTTTCCTATAATGCAATTTGGCTGCTCTATTAACACTTAAAATACATGCTCCCTTGGACTCCTCAATTGTTCCCAGGAGTTTATTACCAGACATAATTTGACAACTACTCAGAGATGAAGAGATTGTTTAAAAAAAAAAAGAAGCAATAATTGATCATATCAGAAAACTTCAAAGACAGAAAAGACATTTTTTAACCCCAGCCAACCTCTGCTAGTTACTCCCCAGAGAACTACATAGTAGTGTGCCAGGATCATCTGAGACAAGCTGAGCTGTGTGGTGCAGGCCTAAACAGTGGTGTGCCAAGATCATCTCAGATAAGCTGAGCTGGTTGGTGCAGTGGTGTACCACGATCATCTCAGATAAGCTGAGCAGTGTGGTAAAGACCTACACAGCAGTGTGCCAGGATCACCTCTGGTAAATTAAGCTGTGTGGTGTAGGCTTGTCATCTCTGCTACATAAGAGACTTAAGACAGGAATATTGTGTTCAAGGCCTGTCTGCACTACATACAGAGTATTTCTCTAGCTTATCCTAGGCAACTTAGCGAAAACCTGTCTTAACATAAGAAGTAAAGAGAGCACTGAGGATGGAGATCATTGTAGAATGCTTGCCTAGAATGTGCAAGGCCCTGCATCAAATACTAGTATGGCTCCCAAATATAAATATACACATACGTGCATAAATACATATATACATACATTACATACATACACACATACACTAGTATCAAATACTAGTACTGCTCCCAAATATATAAGCATCATATAATATACATTATATTAATTAGCATCAAATATTAGTACTGCTCATATACAAATGCATAGACATAAAATACATATATACATATGCACACACTAGCATTAAATACTTGTACTGCTCATACACACACACACACACACACACAAAACCCTTTGGGAAGGATTTAAGTATATATTTATTTTATCTTTTTGGAAAAGATTTAAGTCTTGGGGGCGGGCCTCTGCATTTGAACGCAGTACCTGCAGAGGCTAGAGGCATCAGATCTCCCTGGAGCTGGAAGGGTGGTTTTGTGCTGCAGGATGTGGATGCTGGGATCTGAGCATGGGTCCTCTGAAAAAGCAGCACGTGCCCTTAACTGCTTAGCCATCTCTCCAGCCCAACACCAAAATCCATATTTTAAATAGCTTCAATTCATGCTGCCTCTCTTCTTGATTCAGTCTTCTTACCGTCGGTGCTAACACAATCAACTCATAGATAGGCAAGTGTGACTTCACTCTGAATATATATTTAATTACTGGAAACACAAAATCACAGTAGATACTGAAAAAGCTCCCAGCCCAAGACTAGTGACTGTTTTTTCTTGCTGTCACCAGGGTAACCCTGCATGCCTCTTTATGACAGTTAGGATCCTAATGGACTTCCGATTTTTCATCCAAAAAACCCACACCAGTTTTCTTAATTAATGTAGAATAATGCACTTTGCATGTGCCACGTGTTTTTTTTTTGTTTGTTTGTTTGTTTTGACTCTCATTAACGAACTTCACTGTGGCCCCAGGTTTTCACTATTTTGAAGAATGAAAACACCTTCACTTTTAGGGCGACTTTCCTTATGTTAGACCCTAGGGCACTTCCAGAAGTGGAGAGTACTCTGGCTAGCAATATAAACATGGCTTGTAGATAAAGAGCTCTAACGTGATGGGCTGGTTTATAACATGCCAGCTAAAAATCGGAGTTGTAGCTCCCCTGAGGTCTTGCCAATGTCCAAACCTCATCGCTACATTATTACTCATGATAGTTTAAAACCAACTAGAATCTGTGAAGAGTCATAAAACTAAAGGGCAAGTTCAGCATGGTAACAAGGGACAAGATCAACGGAAGAGTGAATCACATCTCTATCATGTGGTCTGTCACACTCAATGACTATGGGACTAGAAATCCCAAATGCAATACTGTTCCTGAGTGAAGGGAATGAAATCCTGAGGCATGGAACTGACCTTCTATGTGCATGAGTTCTGCATTTGTCCACTCAACCAACAGTGCTTTTAAAAACTTTTGTATCTATGCTAAATGTTGTAGTTTGAATGTAATTGGTTCCCATGATCTCATAGGGAGTGGCACTAGTAGGAGGTGTGGCTTGTTGGAGTAGGTGTGACTTGTTGGAGGAAGTGTGTCACTGTGTGTGTGTGTGGGGGTAGACTTTGATGTTTCCTGTGCTCAGGATACTGCCCGGTGTCTCAGTGTACTTCCTGTTGCCCACAAGGTGTAGAACTCAGCTACACCATGTCTGTCTGCACACGGCCATGCTCCCTGCCATGATGATAATAGATCAGATCTCTTAACTGAAAGCCACGACCTCAATTAAATGTTTTCCTTTGGAAGAGTTGCTGTGGTCTTGGTGCCTCTTCATAGCAATATAAACCCTAACAAAGGTATCAGGGACTAGGGTATTGCTGTGATGGGCCTGGCCATGTTTTTGTTTGGAGTAGCATGGACTTTGGGAGTTTGGGTTAGGAAAGCAGTGGAATGTTGTAAGCACTGCTTAATGAGCCGTCCTAGTAGGAGCATGGAAGACAGTGGTGCTGAGTGGGACTTGATGAACTGTGGGGCCTGGCTCAAGAGGTTTCAGAGGAGGAGAGTGTTGGTATGTGGCCTAGAGATTGGTCTTGTGATATTTTGGTGAAGAAAGTAGCTAAAGTAAAGAGTTTAGATTCATTCCATTGCCAGAGGAAATCTCAAAACAGCCCAGTATTGTCTGTTTTGTGGTTACTAGTGATAGTTCTAATGAAGATTCATAATGAAATGGAGCAAGCTGAAGAAGGGAAAATACTTCTGGAGGAAAAACAGCACTAGGAAGTGGGATGGAGCTAAATTCTGTGTTCAAGGAGATGAGGAGATTAAGGAATGAAATAATGGGAGTATTGACCTCAGGGCAAGATCCCACCCAGCTAAATTTCCAACTTGTGAAAAGGAATTAAAGAAAACTTTAGAACTGGCTGTGGTGGTGCACACTTCCCAGCACTGGGAAGGCAGAGGCTGACGGATCTACGAGTTTGAGGTCAGCCTGGTCTACAGATCCAGTTTCAGGACAGCCTAGGTAGTGAAGGAAGGTCAAAGACAGAAGGTTGGTGAAGATATAATTGAAGGAGCCATATTCTGGCCCCAGCAAGCAGCAGAACTTGGCAACTTTGGTCACATGATTCTGGCTTTAGAGTTAAAGGTAGAAGAAATGGGTTATGGAATTTACCTCCATGCCTAAGGAAAGCTGCTGAGGTCAGACATGTGGCAAGGGCCTAGAGAGACCATTGTATGAAGCTGTAAAATTGAAGCCCGGATTGCCTTGGAGACCCCAAGATGTTAGAGATGCCAGAACCTTGGGATACCTGCCAAAAGAGCTGCTGACAGGGAGTGGAACCAGCCCAAGAGAAAGAAATGTGTTGCGATCAACAAAGCTGAATGGAGTTGGAGATCTGGAGAGCACTCTGACATGTAGATGCAGAGTCTGGAGTTTTTCCATCTGGCTTTTGGTCTTTTCTTTAGTATTTTTCTCACTATGTTTTCTTTCCTGCGTTTTGGAACTGTAATGTATATCCTGAGCCATTATAGGTTGGAAGTATGTGATCTGCTTTTTGATTCTGATTTTCATAGGTTTTCATAGATTACAGCTAAGAGATTACATGAATCTCAGAAGGGACTTTGAACTTTGGACTTTAAGACATTGTAGAGACTGTGATAGACTATGGGGACTTTTAAAGTTGGATTAAATGAATTTTTCATTATAATAGTATTCTAAGACTATGGGGCCCAGAGAGTGCAATGCGGTAGCTTGGATATAATTGGCCCCCATAATTACCTAGAGAGTGGCAGATTATGAAGTATGGCTTGTTGGAGTGGGTACAGCCTTGTTGGAGGAAGTATGGCACTGTTGGGACAGGCTTTGAGGTTTCCTATGCTCAAGATACTACCTGATGTCTCAGTCTACTTCCTGATGCCTGAGAAATGTAGGATTCTCAACTACTTTTTTTTGTTTTTTTTTAAAGATTTATTTATTTATTATGTATACAGTATTCTCAGTACTCTGCCTGCAGGCCAGAAGAGGGCACCAGATCTCATAGATGATTGTGAGCCACCATGTGGTTGCTGGGAATTGAACTCAGGACCTTTGGAAGAGCAGGCGGTGCTCTTAACCACTGAGCCATCTCTCCAGCCCCCTCCCAACTACTTCTCTAGCTACACAAAGCACAGAGGGACCATGTCTTGAAAAAACAAAACCAAAACAACAATAAAATCAATAGCATTGATGGATACTTTAGAGGTGACTTATTTTAAAGCATATTGGAGAACATGCATGTATTATATGAAGTATTTTGTCATTTTACCTAAGGTACTCAAATCCCTTATATCTTTGGGTTTTGGCATCTGACAAGGGTCCTGAAACCTGTCACCCCGATATCAAGGGATGACTGTGCACCTAACAAAGTGTGGTGCTAAACATTATCAAGGGGAGTTGAGAGAACTCAGAAGTGGTCCAGGGAAGGGGACTGAATTTTTGGATTGGAATGCTCAGTTGTAGGTGAGCAGTCTTTCCAGGTTGTTGTATGGGTTTAATGTGGTTTTTATAGAATCCCAGAAATGGTTTTTGAAGGTAAAGATGACTCATTCTGAAATGCATATGGAAAATCACAGGCCCCAGGACTGAACCACTGTGCATTAATTAATAATGTGGGAATGATACTTTTCCAGATTTTTCAGTTCACTTGAGGGTTGCTGTCGTGGGCAGCATGGCATTGGGAGAGCAACACACAGATTAAGGGGACAGAATAGAGAACCTAGAGACAGATACACATAATTACGTCCAACTGAATTGGGGGGGGTTTCGAGACAGGGTTTCTTTGTAACTTTGGAGCCTGTCCTGGAACTAGCTCTGGTAGACCTGGCTGGCCTCGAACTCACAGAGATCCACCTGCCTCTACCTCCCGAGTGCTGGGGTTAAAGGTGTGCGCCACCGCCACCCAGCTAATTGAATTGTTTTTATTCCAATATGGGTGTTGACAGTCAAGATCTCTACAACTGAGTTACATCCTCCCCATTTTCTAACATATATATTACTAAAGCGCAAGAGGAAAAATGGACTGGAGCAACTGAACACACATAAGGAAAAAAAATACAGAGAAGACACCCTGACCCAACCTCATTGTGGTACAACAATGACCGGAGCCTAAAGGCTCTATCTGCTGGCCTAAAGGCCTCCGAGGTATTGATTAACTAGTACAATCTGGAGCCCCTAGTACTTGGCATCACCACCAGAAGACTGGGTACTGGAAGTACTCCCTTGGTCTTCTGGTCAGCTCCAGAGCTCACTGATAAGGTCCTGGGCAAGGAGTACCCAGATTCCTCTGTCCAACTCTGCCTATCCTTATGTAATAGCCAGAGGAGGGTTCCAGCTACCAGCCAAACCCTTTCCTTCATGATTTCTCTAGAACAACTTGTAATGTGCAGGCATCTCATGGTCGGGAGCTGTGGGGCACAACCCAAGAATGTAGCAAACTGGAATGATATCACCTTCTAACCATACTTCACCAAACCCCAGAGAAACTTCTGATGGTTCCTTGGAGTGACCCAAGGAGGGGCATGATCATTTCTGAATCCCATGATTACAGAGACTTGGGGTTCCTTCTCTAAAGGATGGTTTCTTCCTGTTTTGATTAGATGTTAACTCTGTACTGGAGGCAAGAATTAATTGTGGTTAGTCATGGGATGTCATGAGTTATGTGACAAATAAGCTGTTCCTATGAGTTTGGATGAAGTCCCCAAGAAAGAGATTCTCTGAACCCCAGTTCTCTTATTCCTTTGATGTTGGGGTACATCTGCTTGTCTAACCCCTATCCTTCAAGCCAGGTCAGTACCACGGAGGTTCTAATGTGCTTGGGAATCTGGCCTTTCACGTTCGCCTTTCAGAACTGTCAAGCTTATGACGTCCAGGAAGTTCCAGGAAGCTGTCCTTGGAAGCCTGTTAGTCTAGCTTGCCCCCTGCTGATGGAGGGGATCAGGCACAATCACCTGGAACAGATGCTCAGGAGTGAATACTGCAGTCATGTCTTAGAACCTCATCATGTTGAGACGTTTATAAATGGAAACCCATGTGCTAAACCTCCTGAGCATCAGAGCTTGATGTGGGAGAATTGTCTGCATTCTGTCAATCATATTTTAATAAAACGCTGATTGGCCAGGCAGGCAGTATAGGCGGGAAAACCAGACAGGAAGTAGATGTGATACAATGAGAACAGGAGAATTCTGGGAAGCAGGGAAGTTCCTCAGCATTCCTGTGCAGACCACCGAAGAGGCAGCATGTAACTTGCCCAGCTGAGAAAGGTACGGAGCCAATGTGGCTAATGTAGATAAAGATAATGGGGTAACATAAGTTATAAGAGCTAATAAGTAGCCAGAGCTAAGGGCCAATCAGCTTTATAACCTAATGTAGACTCCGTATGATTTTCCTTGGGACTTGCTGGCTTGTTGGGGTACTGGGCGGGACAGAAACCCCAACAAGCCGGCCCCTCATGTTACAAGAGCTCACCCTCTCCTGCCGTGAACATGCCGAGAACACACAAACACACAGCAGCCTATGGTTAAGTACAACTGTCTAATTCAAAGTCTCGTTCATAGGAGTGTGCTGATCGGTCATGCAGTTTACTGAAAACATAAAATCCCAGAGTTGAAAGCAGTTTCCACTGAACAGCACATCACTTTCTTACCACCATAAAGTAAAAAAATCCTGAGTCAGATCATTAAGTGCCAGGAACTAAATAGTCTTCCTTGGTCCTAACAAAGTGAGCCTCAAGCTGAGTAGTATTTTTCATCAAATTCACATCCTCAAGTGACGGAGAAAGGACACTAAGGGAAGAGGTGACCAAATATCCCAAAGAAAGTGGACGCTCTCCCGGGGACACAACTTACTGCATCTAGGCTAGGGAAGAATGCTGTGGCTAAGGAGCCATGCTACATACAGATAGAGAAGAGGGGTGGGAAGAGGTGGGGAGAAGGAAACAGGAGAAAAGGGATATCTTTGGAAAACACACAAGCAGTGCATCGAACCGAGAGGGGTACGATTACCTGGTGTGCTGAAGCCAGCAGCTGTGTTTGGGTCCCCGGAACTGGAGTCAGCCACCTGGTGATCGACACCTGGAACCTATAGCAAGAAACACGCAGCATTACCCTTGCTCAGGAGAACACCCACTCAGGCCACCTCCAGTAACACAGCCAGTCCTCTGAGCCCTCAAACTCCATTGATTCCATCAACACAGAGTCCAAATTATCAGGGCAAAGCTTTCCAGAAAGTTCCAAAGGGTGAAGTAGGAATCTCTGTGTACCATGAACTATGCTGAATCCATGAGGATGCATCTGTTGGGCTTGAAGGACGGGGGAGAGCGTGCAGGTTCTGTGCAAACAGCACTCTATTTTGTGCAAGGGCGCTTGAGCACGTGTGGACTTTGGCATCTGGGGAGCGTCCTGGAACAAATACTCTGAGGAACAACTGTGTATTTTATGAGGTGGGTATATGTGAGACTCGAGAATTCAAGTCATCATTGCAAAGACTGAAGCCCATTTCTCTGGCCTTCTACACTCAGAGTACTTTCCAGGGCACTGGCATACACTGAGTCAATTCACCTTCTACTAGGGCACAATATAGAACCAAGACAGGTTTGCTGGATAATTTTGTCCACTTAACACAGCTAGAATCAAGAGGAGGGAACCTCCTTTGAAAAAACGCCTTCATAAGATTGGGCTGTAGGCAAGCCTATGTAGAGCATTTTTTATAGTTAGTAATTGATAGGAGAGGGCCTAGTCCATTGTGGGTGGTGTCATCCCTGGGCTGGGTGGTCCTGGGTTCTGTAAGAAAGCAGGCTGGACAAGTCAAGAGGAGTAAGCCAGTAAGCAGCACCCACCGCCCCCATGGCCTATGCATCAGCTGCTGTCTCCAGGTTCCTACTTTGAGTTCCTTTGATGATGTACAGTGATATGGAAGTGTGAGCCAAACAAGCCCTTTCCTCCCCAACTTGCTTTTGGTCATGGGGTTTCATTACAGCAATAGTAACCCTAACACAGACAAAAGGCCAGAGGATCCTCCATGGTCATGGTGGGATGTAAGACAGTCCCTACACCAAAATGCCTTCTCTCACTTTTTCCTTGAGGTTCCAGGAAGAATAAACCATGGGACAAATGGTCATGAGACCCGACTTGCTTCACCCCAGCATGGCTAGGGCATGGAATGAACACTGGATAAATGGCTGCATCCCAAGTGAACTCCCAGCCTACCCTTGACTAGCTTACACTTCTTCTTCCTTTTGTTACCTTGCAGACTAAATGAACAGGAAGCTCCTGGGAGACTCTCTTGTCTGAGCTTTGGGTTACGGTCCAGGTACACGCGGGGTGGGGGTGCCAGTCTGACTGCCAACTCACAGTGTGACAGCAATGACATACCATTAAGAGCCACCCTGGCTTGGTGGAATGTGGACTTGGCGCGTTCTCTTCAAGTTTAGGTCAGGGAGATTCTGCCACTCTCCTCTTGGACTGCCTTCATTGGGGTTTCTATTGCTGTGGCCAAACACCATGACAAAAAGCAAATGGGGGGGAGGTTTATTTGGCTTATACTTCCACATTACTGTTCATCCCTGAAGGAAGTCAGGACAGGAACTCACACAGGGCAGGATTCTGGAGACAGGAGCTGATGCAGAGGCCATGGAGGGATGTTGCTTACTGGCTTGCTCTCTATGGCCTGTTTAACCTGATCTATCTATCTATCTATCTATTCCAGGATTGCCAACCCAGGGATGACACCACCCACAATGGGCTCCCCCACTAATGGAGAAAATACCTTACAGCTGGATTTCATGAAGGCATTTCCTCAACTGAGGCTCCTTCCTCTTTGATGACTCTAGCTGGTTTCAAAACCAGTCAGAACATGGAATGGCTCCGATCTGGAGAGGCCTCGGGAAAACAGGACACAGGGGGCTGAGCCCCCAGTCCTCCTGCTCTATCTCACCCTGCTTGGGCTGTGTGTGGTGCAGTTTCCTCCGCAATAGGCACAACTCTTCCAACTGTGCTTCAGGCATCTGGCATAGGTCTGGATGACGTGAGATATGGCACACCTTGTCCATGTGCCACATTGGCACCTACCCCTTCGCCAGCTCAGGAAACAATATCTGACTTCTTGTGTTATTTCAGAATTGCTTTGGGGACACACTGGCAAGTAATGAGCTCAAGAGGAGACTGGCGAAGGTGAGGCGAGCCCCTGCGGCTTGGTCCGATTCCAGCTCAGGTAATTACATTCCTGCCTTCCGTGGCACCAGCTACTTCAATCAGAGAGCTGATATTCCTCAGCTCTCTCTGCAAACTATGATGGAGTTAGAGCAGGTGACCCAGCTGTGGCACCAACACAAAGGATGTGAGCTGCTTCCTGTTGTGGTGGTGGGGAAGCGGGGCGCTGAGGCGAGCTGGAAATCAAGCTATCGCCAGGGAGGAGAGCAGCCTCCATGCGGCCTTTCATCCCACTGATAGGCTTTGGAGCAGCAGCGCACATGCTGTTCTCCTTCCTAAGCTCCCAAGACTGCTGGGGAGGGAACCGAGGGAGAGAGAATTCATGCTACCCTCGCGTCTACACACACCTTTCCCCCATGGTATTCACATGCCTATAACCAATTGTGAAAATGTCTGCCAAGGATCTTCCACTAAATAGCAAAAAGAAACTGCCTAAAGGGCTATTTCATTCCAGAAGTCTCTCTCCAATATCTAACCCCATATATATGTATATGTATGTGTGTGTGCGTGTGTGCGTGTATATACATACACACACACACACACACACACACACACACACCCCTGATGGGGAAGGAGAGAGAGGGAACAGAAACTTAGAAACCTGCTTCTTGAGAAAGCAAGCTTTGGCAATAAAGAAATATAAATAAAAGAAGAGAAATAGAATCCACAAAGGGACAAGGTCAAGAGGAAATTGGATTTGCTTCATATTCTGCAGGGCATCACTCACTTCCCTCTGGCTCCTGTATTCAAGCACCAGGAAATGTAGTTTGGAGAAAAGATGGCTCCTGGGAGTGCATCTGTCACTTCTGAGTAGAGTGTTAGGGGTTTAATTTGAATCTGATGGCAGAGGCCACCTCGGTGCACAGAACTGTGGGGGAAATGGCCATTTGGCTCAGCGGCACTCCAGAGGCAGTAAAGGGGACGGACAACTGTGACATGAATCTAAATTGAGATTTGAGTTCAGCCGCCAAGGCTCATAAACCTGGATCCTAGCAGGATGAAGAGTGTGAGGATTGCGAGAGACAAGATTCCTACATAACTTGCCCTGGACACCACAAGCCATGTGAGACTGTGGTGATTTTAATGAGATCTGTCTACCATAGTTTTGGGCATATGCCCAGTTGGTGGCCCTGTTTGGGGAAGTTTAAGAGGTGTGGCTTTGCTGGAGGAAGTATGTCGCTGGGGCGGATGTTGGAGAGTAAACACCATACTACTTCTAGTTCTTTCTGTTGGTCTCTCTCTGTTTCTGTCTCTACTGCTGTCTGTCTGCCTCTCTCTCTCTCTCTCTCTCTCTCTCTCTCTCTCTCTGATTTGTGCTTGCAGTTCAAGATATGAGATGTCAGCTTGCTACTTCATCTGCCATATCTGCCACCTCTCCACCATGACGGACTTCTATAAGCTGGCCTGGTCAGGATGCAGAGAAACAGACTAGGGAAGGGACTGAACCTGGGACTTGCTGGCTCTGAGATGCTCCTTGGACCACTTGTCATCACTGAAGGATCAACTGGAATTTAGGCGGATGGGCTCTGTGGGGAACCCTGCATGGGAATTCTGCCCATTTCTGTGATGTGTTTCTCACTCCTGGATGAAACCACATTCGTGAAAAGCTACTGTTTAGGGGCAATTATCAACTGCCATGGAGAATGAGGGTTTTATATATTCAAGATCATTTCTGAAACGCTTCACTTGCAAGTTTTAAAATGTAGAGGTCATTTCCTTTAAAATACAATTTATAGGACCCACAGCTGGCGATACCATGCCTGCCCATCTCCTTTCTCGTAACCTCCAGTGTTGTATTAGACTTCCCTTCCTAGCTGAACTGCTACCCAGTCAAGTACTTCTGGTTGAGCCAACCTAGACACTGAATTTATCAAAGGCACTTCCAGTTTGGCATGCAAGGTCAGAAAACCTACACCCAGTGCTACAGCAGACATCCCCCCCC